GTCCATACCTGCATGGTAGTTCCTGGCTCCAATCTCTTCTGGGATAACTGCAGTGAAAGGCTGAGAGAAAGCACAGGACCTGGGTTAGCAACAAGTCTGTGGTCTCTGGGAGAGATACCTGTCCCCAGTACAACATGAGGCAGCCATATTTTGGCCAGAGCCCTGACTCCACGTCCCTGGCTGGCTTCATGACATCTCCCTCGCGTGTGCTCCCCCAACACATTCAGCATGGATAAGGATCGCCACCAGTCCAGGGACTCCCAAAGCCACAACAGTGTCCAAAGTCCCCACAGGGCCACCACTCACAACCCTTGCCCATGACCAGCTGCCCAACCCCAACCACGGCCCCGAGGCTGGCACAGGGCTGGCAGGGCAGCCCAGCTGCTCCCATACCTCAGCCATGTTACTGATGACAATTGCCATGATGATCCCGTAGATGGCCACAGCCTCGCAGAAAATGATGCTGTGGGAGAAAGGCAAAGCCTGAGCACAGTGTCCCAGGGGAAAGACCCCACCCCAAGCAGCCCCTGGCACTTCATGCCCAGCCAGCCAGCAGCCAGACCCCTCCCCAACCATATGGGAAAGCAGAAAGGCAGTGCAGCCTACCCACTTCTTTTCTCTCAAACAAGGGGGAGCTGCCAAACACAAAGGCTGGGTGCTGGTTGTGCTATGGCCCCTAAGTAAGCTGGGAATGCCCTGTGGGAAGCAGACCCAGGGAGCCCTGCCCTCTGCCAGTCCCTTTCTGCTCCTTGGGGAAGGGTTATGCAAGGAGAACCCTTGTCTGGTTGGGAAGTGTGATCTCAGGGTGTTTGTTGTGAACACATTGAGCTCACTCACTGTGTGATATCACACAGTGACTCTTCAAAGCAGCACTCTGGCTCCTTTAGGGCTCTTTGTTTTGAAAGCAAACAGCATCAGCAGCTTAGCAAGGAATGGTCTGCCAGCAGAACCCAGGAGACATTGGACAGAAGCCTCTGCCCTGGCTTGGGACCTGCCCCACTCAGGTGCAGCATGAGCACTAACCCCAGGCCTGTGCTTACCTGACCAGGTTCTTCGTTTTGATCCGAGGGGCTTTGACTCCACCACCAATGATGCTGGAGCCTGTGATGTAAATCCCCCTGTGGCAGACAAAGGTGGTTGGTGGAGTCTGGCACTCACAGAAGAATTCTACAGGGAAACCAGGATCTTCCAATTGAGCAATGAACTGGGCATGCAGCTGGGGGACACTGCAGAGCTGGCCCAGCCACCCCCAGGGTACAAAGAGGTCCCAAGCTCCATCACCTACACCTACAGAACTGCTGGGGCACAAGAGCCACCACGGGACAGCCTGGGCAGGGGTGCAGCTTCCAGAGACTTTACTGTCTTTCCACTGCCACTGCTGCCTGCAAGGTGGCCTGCCCAGACCCCCCAGGTGTGCAGAAATTCAGCCCCTCTGGTGACCCACAGCCCTACATGTGCACATTGATCCACCCCTGCTCTGCTGTGGGAAAACTGCAGTGTAGACACAGCTACTGAGGTGGGACAGTGGGAGGATGCTGAAGAATCAGTTCCACTCACCAGGCAGCTCCCACCACAGACAGGGAGATGGCCAAGCCAATGCCCAGGTTGGACCACATGAAGGGAGAGGTCTCGGTCAGAAACCTGGAGAGGAGGAAGTGTCCCGAGTTAGCACACAAGCTGAGCCCCTGCAGTCATACCACACAGCCACAAAACAGACACCCCTTCGCCAAATTACACAGCTCAAGATGGGCTGGGAACCCAGACACTGGGACACGAGAGTCTCTACCAGCCAGCAACACAGGAGCCTCACACCTGCATGGATCAAGATCTTCTTCCCAAACCCTCACTGTGAAGTGGAGTCCTGGGCTGGGAGATGTGGAGGGCAGGGCAGTGACGGCTGCACCAGGACCCTGTATGGAACCAGCCACACGGACACGTGGGCTGTATCTATCCCACCTCCAGAGGCCCTGCTCACTGTAGCTTCTGTGATGAGCTGTCCATCGCTCACTGTTCCCCTGGAGGCACCGCCCGCTCCTCACACAGCCCAAAGGACGCCTGTATTTACAGGGAACTCACCAGGCCACATCAAAGCGGAAGCCCAGGTCAAATATTGTGTAGCAGATCCCTGGAAAGCAAGAACAACATGGAAACCTTCAGAGAAGCACCAGCTACCAGCCTGGTGCTGCTGCTGCTTCCTCCCTGACCTACAAAGCCCCAGTGCAGAGGCCCAGGAGCACAGCACAGCATGCAGAAGGGTTACTGGGAAGATTGACATGCAGAGCTGTGGGGCAGGGTGTCCCCTCCAAGTCCCCCAAGGGCTGTGCTGCTCCCCAGGAGCCCATCAACACCAGAAGCTCCAGCTGCCCCCAGCACCTCCTTTCTGAGGGTGTGGGTTCAGGATGTGACTCCTATCCTCTGCGTTTCCCCCCGGGTTACTGATTTCCAGACAAATTTGTACACCAACAGAGGCAGAAGACACCAAAGCATATCCCTGAGAAACCCAGGAAAGCAGGGAGCACTGTACCCTGAGTGCTCCTCTCCCACATGGAACTGTAGCTGGGAGTCCCACCTGACATCCCTGCACAGCCCAGGCACACGCAGAGGCGTGAAACCCACCCAAAAACCCTGCCTGGCTCTGAGCTCGTGAGCGGGAAACACGGCTGCAGACCAGGAGAGACACTTGCTCTGGAAAAGACAGGGTGACCTGGCCCTAAGGAACAGATAAGCCCAGGCAGCATCTGCTCCATGCCAGATACAGAGGGTGAAGGGATGGCTCTGCCATATCTGGCTGGAGCCAGCGTCTGCGTGATGCTGATCCTGCGAACAGCCAGGAAAAGAGGAAGTGGGAGACTCCTGAAGTGCCTGAATGCAGCAAAGAGGTCACTGCACGTGTCCCACTGCTCCCTTCAACCCTGGAGCTGCAGCCTGGAGGCAGGGGGCAATGGCAACATGGACCCAGGCTGGAGGAGCCCTATCCTGAGCACTGGCAGGACCTGCAGGACAACTCATCCCACTGGGAGGCCTTGGCGCTGCAGTGCAGGGAGACCCTCGCAGCAGGGATGTCCCCATCATTCCTGTGTGCTAAATCCCCTCCATGTGCAATCTGGGGCTCAGCACCCCCCTCACCAAGAGCACACAAGCACTGCCAGACAAGCCAGCCAGCCCCAAAACGGGAGGTGGCACTGCTGGTCTGCTCTTTCTGCCTGCAGAATTGGGGCGCTCCCCTCCCTTGCAGCGGCACACATGGATGAGGAACGGTGCCACCACGGCCAGGGAAGACAGAGGGAGGGCACAGCCCAGCCCTGGCAACCTTCAGGGATGATTTCTACGGTGACACAGCCTGTGACTTGTGTTTTGGCTTTGCTGCTTGGCTGGCAGAGCAAGAACTGAACCCAGCCAGCCTTGGCTGCCTCCACTCCCAAGAAGCAGTAAAGAAGGGCTACAACCAGCTCAGGGCAGATCCTCAGAGCACCTTCAGTCTCTCTGAGGGCAGGTGTAGCCTTAGATCCGTATGCAAAAGAAACAGGGTGAAGGACACTTCCCTGTGAACTCGGGCTTCCAGCTCTGCAAGCCAGAAGGACAGAAAGGAGAGGGCAGCAGGACTGGGGGATCAAATCAGGGCTTAGGACAAAGACAGAAAGCACAGCCCCTCTGGTGACCCACAGCCCTACATGTGCAGAGGCACTAATGCAACACTGCAAGAAGCAAGACCATTTCCTGCTCACGTCTTCCTCAAAAAGGGACTGCAGGAGGGCAGAGGAAGTTAAGAGCATCTGGGCTAAGCTCGGGAGATTTTCCAGCAGTCTCATGGTCACAGTGTGGATGTGTACTGGTGTGAGCCACATGACTCAGAGAGCCCAGTGAGGCAGCCCTGGGGCCACACTGCACTCACCAGGCCCTGCAAACACGAGGGAGTGAGACACCCTTCACTTCTGACTCGTTCTCTCCCCTCACCTGAACACTGAGGCGGGAGACAAGGTCTCCCCAGCCTCTGCCTGGCTTGTGGGCACTTTGGTCTGCGCTGAAAGAGGAAATAACCGAGCACTCCCAGCACAAAACCTACCTGCTAGCCCTAGGCCATTAAATCCACCCTCAGTGCTGCTGAGCCCAATGCCATCGACAGCAGAGCTGCCACGAACTGCAGCAGGGCCATGCACCAACTCCACAATCACCCTGACAAACTCACACGCCGGGCAAAGCAAGGCTCTCTCTCCACCCGGGAGACAGCAAAACTGCCACAGTCTGGAGAGCCAGGCTCCTGCCTTCCCCTCCCCTCCCCTCACCTGCCTGTGCCGGACACAGCCCCAGCACCTGGCTGCTCCCGCATACGGAGCGAAGCGAATCAGCAGCCCAGGCCAGGCAGGCTCGGAGCGCTGGACGCCGCACATACAGCAGCGACCGAGAGCGGTGCGGCCCTGCCGGGGCCCGAGCCCTCCGAGGGAGCAGCTCGGCGCGGTGCCCGGCCTGGCCAGCCCCTCACCAGCGCTCCGGGTGCCGCGGGGAGCAGCTCAGCAACCTCAGGGCCCTGACAACTTCTCGACCTCCCCCTTCCTTTTCCCCGCCGCACCGAATCCCCCCACCAGCCCCTCCCGCCGCACGGCCCAGCGGCGCAGCGCGGCCCGCAGCCCCCCCCACCCCGGCCCGGAGCTGACCGACGCCCAGCAAGGTGGTCCAGAAGGCGAGGCCGAGCCCCGAGTAGAGCAGGGCGAGCCCGGTCATGGCGGCGGCGGCGGCGGCGGCGGCACCAGCACCGGGCAGGGCGGCAGGGCCGGGTCACCGGGCGCCGGGTCACGTGACCACGGGACCGGCGTGACGGCACCGGCGCCGCCGCGCCCGCTCATTGGCTGCCTGAGCCTGCGGACGCTGCAAAACTACAAAGGCCATGAGGCACCGCGACAAACCCCCTCTTCCCATTGGCTCCCCGCTCCAAGGGCGGGGTTTCCGAGCGCGGCGCCGCGCTCCCATTGGCCGAGGCCGCGCCGCAGCCCGGAAGCGGGTGCCGCGTGCAGCCATGGCCGCCGCCTTCAGCAGCGACGGGGAGGTCGCGCTGCAGCGGGAGCTGCGCCCGGCGGCGGCGGCGGCACCGCGGGGCGACCTTGACGCCTTCTACGAGATGGGCCGGGCCGCCGCCTTCGTGCGGGACGGCGGGTTCCGCAAGGTGAGGGTGGAGCAGGGCCGCGCGCCGCCCCTTTCCCCCGGTGCCTGCTCCCCGGTCCCTCACCCTCTTTACCCTCCCCAGGTCGCCCTCCAGTTCCCCGACGAGCTCCTGGCGGACGCGGCGGCGGTGGCGGCCCTGATGGAGGAGGCGACGGGGGCCGAGATGTTCGTGCTGGGAGACACCACGTACGGCAGGTCGGTGGGGGCCGCAGGGGGTGTCCCGGGCGGGCGGGAGCGGGGCTGAAGGGACGGCGGTGCCAGGGAGGAGGAGGGACACCAGGCTGTCTGACACCGGGCTGTCCCCGCAGCTGCTGCGTGGACGAAGTGGCCGCCGAGCATGCGGGTGCCGAGGCGGTGCTGCACTACGGCCCGGCCTGCCTCAGCCCCTGCGAAAAGCTGCCGGTGCTGCACATCTTCGGGCGGCAGCCGCTGGACGTCGGGCGCTGCGCGGAGGCTTTCCAGGAGCTCTACCCCGAGCGCCAGAGCCGCGTCGTGGTGCTCTGCGACGTGGTCTATGCACATGCGATGGGTGAGTGCCCTGGGCAGGGAGGAGCGCGCTCTGGCACAGCTCCGAGCTCTGTGGGCAGGCATTCCGCCGACACTGGCAGCCTTGATTTCTGTCCTTTCCTCTCCCCTGCTCTGTCCCACCTTCTGCGGCTCAGGACTTGTGGACATGTTTAGTTCTTCCTCATCTCTCCCTTCAGGTGAGCTGGAGCAGCAGTTGTGCCCCGAGTATCCCAACATCACCTTCTCCAGGCTGGAGTGTGGGGACCCTCCCGCCCCGGCGCTGCCCGGGGAGGAGCGCAGGTTTGGCCGCCGGTTCCTGGTGGAGGCTCCAAGGGGGCTGCAGGACTACGCCATGTTCTATGTGGGGGCCGAGGGCCTGGCCCTCACCAGCTTCATGCTGACCTGGAACCGCTGCCCCTTCAGCTCCTTTGACCCCACCACGGGCCGTGGCCGCCGCGAGACTCTCAACGTGAACCGAGCACTGATGCGCCGCCTGTACCTGGTGGAGCGGGCGCGGGATGCGCGCGTGGTGGGGATCCTGGTGGGCACCCTGGGCGTGGCGGGGTACCTGGCCCTGCTGCAGCGCCTGCGGGAGCTGCTGCGCCGCGCCGGCAAACGCAGCTACACCCTGGCCGTGGGGAAGCCCAACCCTGCCAAGCTGGCCAACTTCCCAGAGGTGGACATCTTCGTCCTGGTGGCCTGCGCTCAGAACTCCCTCCTGGACTCCAGTGACTTCTACCGGCCCGTCGTGACCCCCTACGAGCTGGAGCTGGCCTGTAACCCGGCCCGAGAGTGGACAGGGAACTACCTCACGGACTTTCGAGACCTGCTGCCGGGTAACAGCCACAGACCAGCTGCCCAGTGCCCTCCAGAGTGCATTGTGCCCAGCTGCCCTGCGTGCAGGGGGAGCTCCAGGACAGACATATCACCAAGCTAACATTACCGTTTTCTGGCAGGTGCCTGTGCGCACATGGAGCTCCCACCGGCCGTCCCCGCGGCAGAGGCCATTCCCGACGTCTCGCTGATCACGGGAGAGATGAGAGCCGCCCACCTCTGTGACCCCCCGGCCTCCCAGCCGCCGTCCAGCACCACCCTGGCCTGCAGGGACCAGTCATGGGCCCTCACGGAGATCAGCCCTGCTGGTTTGTGTTGGTTTCATGTTGGGGCCAAGCCCTGGTGCAGGGGCAGCACCGCCTCCCTGCTCCTGGTAACAGTTCCCTTTCTCTCTCCTCCCAGCCTCCTTCCTGGAGTCCCGCAGCTGGCGGGGCCTGGAGCAGCAGCTGGGACAGACGCCCGTCTCCAAGGCTGTGCAGGGCCGGCGAGGGATTGCCATTGCCTACGAGGATGAAGGGTGTGAGCAACCCTGATGTGGCAGCAGCATCAGCACCAAGCCAGGAGCAGGGTTGTGTTGCAGCCTGGGCATTGCCTGCTGCTGGGTGTTGGACCCACAGGGGCCCAGACCTGCTGCCAGCTGGCCCTGTGCTGGATGCAGCCTTGGGTCAGTAGTACTGCAGTGGGAGAGCAGGAATTGCAGGTGTGTTTGGGAATGCCTGTGGCACCCTGAGGCTCATGGCCAGGGCAACAGCAGGGCCAGATATGGGTCTCAGTCCCAGCCTCCGAAGGATTCCTGGTCCAGGGCAGCTTTGGCCCTACATGGAAAGGTCACAGCTTTGCAAGACCTGACAGTACCATGACTTGAGGCCTTTGTGGGCTGCTGCTGCTAACTGAAGCTGACCTGAAGAGGACTTGCAAGAGAATGGTTTTTTAAAATAAAACATGGGCTGAGGAGCGCAGATGGGTAATACCACCTGTCCCAAGAGCAGTAAAACAGTATGGTGCCCACCTGGGGAGCACAGCTCTGTGTACAGGCTAAAATCAGCCTGAGAGAACAGAAAACCAGACCTAGGACCGCCCAGGAATGAGAGCACAGGCTGTGGGCTGGGGCACTGAGGCAAGGGCAGGAGTGCTCCAAGCATAAGCAAGCCCCTCCCTTGCTGTGATGAATGGGAAGAGGGCACACGTATCCTGTGCTAGGGGGAGAATCCTGCATTTGGCAGTGGTGTAGTCCCCCCTCTCATGAGGGGCAGGACTGTTTCTGCTCCATGTGAGGCAGGAGAGCACGGAACGCAGGACAGATTGTTTTTTGCCATCCCTCCCGAAGCCAGGGAGGCGTTGAGGCATCTCAACCTTGATTTAACCCCCTCTGCTGGGCTCTTCCCCGGAGTCAAGGGGCAGGCAAAGCCTGGGCACTGCAATAACGACAGCCACAACATAGAAATATTCTTAATATAATTAGGTGCAGGGCCTCCCCCCTCCCAACCACACGTACAAACGAGCAGGGGGCAAGTCCCCCCTGCCCAGCCAGCCACTGCTGCAGGCACGGGGCAGCCTCCCTGCCACGGGGCACGGGCTGGGGAAGGGCAGGTAGCCCGGGTGTGGGGCAGTCCTGCCCAGGCCTCCCCTGCCCCGCCACCGCCTCCTGCAGCCGGTACTCCTGTCCCCTGCGAGGAGGGAGCATGCTGGGGGAAACAAAGATGCTGACACCGAGATGCGGCCACCAAATCTAGCTGAGGAGCGTCCCGAGTGGGTTAATTCTAGGTGGAGGGTTATTCTATGAGCCGTACTGCAGCAGGGCGAGGGGGTGGGGGGGCTTCCTTGTGGGGAAGAGCTGGCCCAGGCAAATTGTCCGCGGTCCTGGCCAGGTGCTCAGTAGTCTGCTGTGTACTCCGTACCGTGCAGCCCTCGGCACAACAAGGTGAACTCCTTCACCATCTCCTTCACTCGCCGCTTGTTCACACGCTCTCTGCTAAGACAGAGGGAGGGGGACAAACATGAAGCAGGAGGGATGCACCAGGCCATGCAGGGGTGGGGTCATTCCCACCACAGCTGCTGGGGCAAGTGGCACACGAACCTGAGGATCTGCTGGCTGAAGTTTTCCTTCTGCTCTGGAGTGACGCGGGCCGAGGGGAAGCCGTCCTGCTGCATGGCCTCCTTGATCCAGACGCTCAGGAGGCTGAAGCAGTGCTTGTTCAAGGCAAAGAGGATTTCTGCGAAGTGATCCATGAGGCTGCGGGAAGCCTGGCCACCAATGCCCTGCCACAGAGCAAATGGAAACACGCTGAGCCCCTGTGGTGTCGCTCTCCCTGCTCCCACCCAGATGCTGCTGGGCTCTCTGCCCTTGGCTCAACAGGTGCTGCTCAGGAATAAAGCCCAGAGCTGCCCAGGGAACCTGTGGTCCCGGTGTCTCTCACCTCCAGCACTGCCTGCAGCAGCACTTTGCCGTTCTCCTGCACGACCTGTCCCACCGGGGCGATCTCTCCACAGCGGGGCAGCAGCTCCGTCTGCAACACAGAGGCCTGCTCAGTGCCAGCACGAGCACCACCCTGCAGCACCCCTGCCCAACCTCAGCCCCACTCCTGCCCTCCCAGCTCTCAAGAGAGGACTGTACAGTGCCACAATACTCACAAAAAAGCCGCAGGATGATTTGACTGTTGGGGCCTCAGGAAACTTGAGTGAAAGGACACCTGCAGGCAAAAATCACTCAGGTTAGCAGCCAAAAAAACTCCCTCACCATCCCAAATCAGCCCTGCAGTCCCCCGCCCTTGGCTGGTTTTTACCCAGCTCCACAGGGCAAGCAGGCTGGCTTCTCCTCAGAGTGATTTGGAGCACACACCCATTGCTTGTGGTACTCACCACACTGAAACACTGCTTTGACATCCAGGTTGCTACACAGGAAGAGGTCTGGCTTCCTTTTCAGAGCCTGCAAGGCACACAGACAGGCAGCATGAACACAGTGCTGCAGAGGCAGCCAGGAAGCCTCCGAGGAACTCAGTGCCCCAGCCAGCCTCTGCCTGGACACACACTTACCTGGGCACACCCACAGCAAACAGCAGATTCACACACTACAGCAGGAAACCATCACTTCACCCACCCCTTCCCTCCTAAGAGAATGTCATTCAAACACCCAGGCAGTTTGCCCAGGACCTGAGGAAAGGTGCCACAGTGGTGTCCACACAAACACTCGGACACAGAGGGCTCCTGTCCCACCAGAGCAGACCAAGCAGCCGCTCCCAGGACAAGGGCAGCCATGTGGGGCTCAGCAGAGACCAGCCACCTGTGTGGTTTGCTCCTCTCCTCTTGAAGATGCTGCCATCCCTGAGGGTCACAGCAACTGGTTCAAGCAGTAGCCCCAGACTGGACCAGATGACAGTGAGATGCCAACGTTCCTTGGCAGTTCCTGAGCAGCAAAGTCTGAGACCAGGAAAGCTTTGTTTTTGTTAATGCCACACAGTGATTCCACCAGCCTCTGTGGGGGTCAGGCACTGCTGCTGGAGACACCCTGAGCTGTGGCACCTTGTGCAGTGAGTTGGTCCCCCTGGTGCTGGCACTGGGTGGAAATGTTTCAGTCTGCACCTTCCGCTCCATGGGAAGGGTTTCCAACCTGCCTCAGTGAGCCCTGCTGTATCAGGCAGCCACGTGCATGCCCTGACCACCATACCCTCTGCTGCAAGAAAACACTGGGGATGGCATCCACGCCTCCTGCCCTGCTGTCACTGCAACTGCAGGAACAGCAGACACAGCACTGGAGCAGCCCTGCCCTGTGCCTGGAGCTCAGAGAGCAAGATACCAGGGCAGGCAGCCCTTGGGCTGAGCTGTGTGCGAGGCCACTGCCACCCTCCAAGCCTGCTCCCGGGGATGAAAGCAGGGAGAGCTTTCAGCCAGCAGAACACAGTCATCTGCCCCCGTGGTCTCTACTTGGCGCAAAACACACTTATTTCCTACCCCTTCTTCTTCAGGGAAAGTCCACAGCCACCTGCCCAGTTAAAATGCTGGAAACCAAGAAGCTGAGGAGCAGGTTTGAGGGTGACCTCATCTCCTTTTTGACCTTTGGTATCACACACTGCAAGAGAGGACTCAGGTTTTGGCACTGCTGTACCAGGCAGAGAAGGCACAATCACAGGGAACTGCTTCCCTGCTGGAGCTTCCTGGGGTGATCAGGAGCCATGTTATACCTGTGTGTGTATATACAGGCTGTGCACCACCCCTCCTGAAGTGCTGGCACCAACATCAGAAGGAGAGAGACTGGCTGGGCAATGGTTTAGAAACTCGTCCAGTCATCGAGGCTGCTGCTGTCCAGCTGCCCTCATACAGGACAAGCACTTGCAAGAGATGGTGTAGTTTTTAGCCATGGAGACTACTCCTGCTGGGACCCTGCTGTGGGCTCCAGAGCAGGGACCACAAGCCTCTCCCCCAGTATCATGTATCATGCTGCTCCACGGCAGCTGGCTCCTGTGATACCACCCAGCTGCAGATTCATCTACCCTGCCCATCCACGGGGCTGGTTTAACCTGAGTTTTGCATGCTCTGTGTTTTCCCTTTGGCACAAGAGACTTCCAGTGTGCTCAGGTTGCCACCTACCTGCAGCGTGCTTCTCCCAGCCAAACCAGACGTGCCATGGGCACTGCCCCCCAGGCTCTCCTTCGGACTCACTGCAGCACCTGCTCCTCACTCCGTCCATGCTATGAGAAAAAGCATGCCAGGACTGGGAGGGCTCCTTCCCATAGGGCACCTTGCACAGAGTGCAAGCCCAGTGCAGACCTGGGCACCTATACACACGTCTATTGTAAAGAGAGATGCTTTTTACCCCCTGCCAAGATGGGGCCTGTGGAGCTCCTCCTATAAGAAAGCAGCACCAGGTAGGTCCTCTTTCCTAGCACCAGGAAGCATGCTCCAACTCTGGGAGCTCCTGCTGCCAGCCCATCTGTCCTCTCTCCTGCCAGAGCAGCTCTGATCTCATCTTCTGTGATGGGGAGAGGTCTTTAAATCTTTTCAGAGTCCCCCCCACATCCTCTGCATGAGCAGCCACTGCAGAGACAGGCACTGGCTCTCCAGTAAGAACTCTCCTGCAGGCTGGCACAGAGGAAATATTGGGTTCTTCTCTACAGCAGCTGGGAGATCCTCAGAGAGGTCTTCAGAGCAGGCTCTTCTGTGCCCATCTCTTCGTAGTCAGATAGCCATGGAAAGGACACCAAACCTCGCAGAAGGGACAGTGGGGACTCCACCACCAGTTCCTGCAGCTCTCCAGAACAAAGATCAAGCCATTGTGTCCAGTACGACCAACCTCTTCCCAGATCACACACCTGGCACAGCAGAGCCTCCTGCTTTGAAAAGGGCACGTAAGGTTGGCCAGGCAGGAGCAGTCAGCCTCAGCAAGGGGATGCTGAACCAATGTCCTCCATGGGGCTCCCTGAGGCTGGCTGAAGCAGCTTTCATGGAGAGCTCAAGGACTGCTGGCACTCATGAAGCCTGGACCAGCCCAAGAAGGGAAGAAGGTAGGGGATGACCTGTCTCTGCCTGGCCAGGCACTGCCTGCCATCACAGAAGGTCAGTCCTGCATCTTCTGCCTGGTGAGGCCCCACTCGTCCAGCCTGCCCCAGGGATCTGTCAGGGGAAGTCACCAAAGTGCTCCAAAGGTCTGTACCAGCGAGGAAGGCCTGCTGGGGCAGAGTTGATGTGCCTGCAGCCCTAGCGGGAAGACAGGCTGGAGAGCCCCAAAATCCTACCTGCAACCAGGAGCACGCACAGAAATGATACCTGCCAGCCAGGGAGAGGATGAAAGCTGCCAAACACGAGAACCCGCCTGGTTTTGCCAGTGCAGATCTGGGCGCAAGCCCCAGCCACCAAGGGCTGTGTGGTCCTGGGCACTGGTGCTCTGGCTGCACGGGTGGAACTGAGCCCCACAGCCCTCCAGTGGGACGCTCCCCTCGGGCACTGCAGCAG